AGAGATTATTGTAATATTATCTATGACTTGACTTTATGTGATTAAAATGAGATCTAAGGAGCCTCCTGTTCATTCTGACAGCAGCTGTGGTCTGATCCAAGATGGCCGCCCTCTAGGCACGTCAGCCAGCGTCCAATGAGACGTCTACGTATGTCTATGGCTGTGACGTGTGAATATCAGTGTGACGTCAGTAAAATGCGCCTGAAGTTGTTCTCGACTTTGCTCAGTTTTTTATTTTGTTTTCTAAAGCAGCGACAGACGGAAGATATTATTGACTAAAGCGGCAGCGGGACAAACCGGCAGAGACGCAGAGGACATGAGGAGTTTCAGGGAAAGGAGTCCGTGTTAAACGAAGCAGAAACCGGGTTCCTGCGGGTCTCCATGTGGTCCAGTCCGAGTTGTTTATGGTTTTTATCTTTATTCTACTGAAGCTGAGGACATGTCCAGGAAGATCCCGGACAGGTGAGACCTTAGGATGAAGAGCTGTGCTCCTCATCATCCTCAGCTGTTTGATTGGTGTAAAATGAAAGTAAATAATAAGAATAATAAAAAGTTTAAAAAACAATCTTCTGATCAGAGACTTTTGGGGGAAATTGTCCCTCGCTGGATCCTGTTCCCAAAATGTCTTAAGCTTTATTTTGAACAGAGGAAAATCAGAGATGCTAAGAGGTTTGGATTATTTTGGACCTGAGCTTCTGTCTGCTTTAAGTGTTGATTTATTAGCTTTTTGTAAACATTGTAATAAAGCATTTAGGCTGGGTGTGATTGAATAAATCAGTCCCAGACCTTCCAGTGGAGCCAGGTCTGGTTCTGGATGCTGTGATGGTGTCTGTGTCTGACAGATGGCAGGACTACAGCGCCGTGGGGAAGAGACTGAAAGGAACCCGCTTCATCGCCTTCAAAGTGCCTCTGAAACAGGTCAGCCTCAGCCTGCAGGACCAGAACCGCTCTGCTTTGACCACTAAGTCTCTCTGTTTGCTCCTGCTCAGGCTTTGACTAGGACACTGCCCTGCTCTGAGGCGTTCGGCCCCTGGGAGCTGCTGGACGCTCTGCAGAAGGACGACCAGGAGCTGGGGCTGATCATCGATCTGACTTTCACCACACGTTACTACAACCTGCAGGTAAACACAGCAACCAGATCCTCATGCCAGGAGGAATGTTGGTGGGCGGAGCCACATTCCTAGAAGCCGCAGGGTGGCTGCTGGATCAGAGCAAAACAGATTTATCCTTCATCACCACTTCAACCTCCTTAACTAGAACAAAAGCATCACTTTGGCAGAAACCCAGCCCTCCCATCAGAGAATAAGTTTTACTTCCTGTTTGTCTGATTCCGTGAGTAAAGTGAAATGAACCAACCTTGATGTGATGCGGTCAGAACCTGCTGTAAACAACGCTCTGGTCCATGGAACATGTTCAGCAGCCAGAAGCTCCTAAATCCATTAGATTGCGGTCTTCATCAGGGGGTCCGTGACCCCTAGGGTGTCAATGGAGGTATTGCATGGGGGTCGCGGAAGTTTTGGTTGATTACACTGCATTTTTTCCCCACTAATTGAAAAGTTTTTAATTCACTTTAACATTATTCACACAGACATTTCTCTATGGAGGGGGAAAAAACAAACTAGTCAGAACCATGACGGTATAACAGGCGTCCTGTAATAAATACTCTATAACGGATCCAAAACCAAAACTTCTGGTCAAATGTTCCCTCATTACTAAAACATAAGCCCGATTTCCACTGCCCTTAGCAGGGGTTTACGTTAAGGATTTTTCGGGCAAGTGACTTTCACATTTCATTTGCCCAGAAACAATTTTTACTTGCCCAGTAT